ATGACCTGGATGACTGAGAATATCCACAAATAGTTTGGTTGTGTTAAATTGTTTATTTGGATTCAGATTAAGTTCATCTATAAGACCAATTGTCTTATACCATCTGGTCCTGGACATGCTTAGCTTAATGCTTTTGGCTGATAAGAGTAACTTGCTTGTTAGTGTCTAAAGCTTATCTGAATCAGGAAGTAGCGATAGATGTGGATTCCTTTAGTCACAACATGTGATTGGGCCTATTGCTACATCCTTTGCTGGTGTGTACTTTTACTGATATTGCTTGCTTCACCACATGCAAAATGTCCACAAACACTGTGGAGCGTGTTACTTTAAATCACCTACTCCTAATTCTCTTAATGAACAAGTAGAATAGATCTATTTATGTTTAAAAGTTACATGAAATAATGCTCATCTTGTAAAATCAAGACCTATATAGTAATGCTCATCTTGTAAAATCAAGACCTTTTGTTTTAAGATATATTTTTAAGAATAATACAACTTTGATGCTATGCCACTCACTGAGTTTTGGCATAGACACTCACATAAATCCTAATTGTTAAGGTGAAACAAATCTTTAGTTGTGTACTCTCTTTTCCCAAGTATTGGTTTACCTTTTTTTAAATAATAAGCCACATTGTTTTTCCTTTTCATATGTTTTTATGTGGACAATTGGTGTCTTGCCTATTAGTCATGGGAGCATGTTTTGACTCCATGTTGAGAAATACTGTAACACTTTACTCTACAAAGAGACAGGTTTTGATCCTTGGATCAGACAACCAAACATCTTCTGCTGTTGCAGTGGGTCACATGTGTCTGGAAGTAACTCAAAGATGCTGATGCTTTCCTCTCATCAAATCAACAGCACATCCTGAGGATGTGAGGGTGTTTTCCTGTGGTGTTACGGCTGCATGTGCATGTTTGTCATGTGGCAGGGGGTGGTTGCTTGTGGGGGAGGAGGGTGTTGTCAGATGATGGCTCCTGGAGGAACCATGTGTGAGTTGAAGGTGGGAGGGGACTGGGGGAGGAAGAAAGAAGCAAGGAGGAAGAAGAAGAAGAGAGAGGAGCCTTTACGCAACAAACAGGCCTCCCTCCCCCCTCCAGGCACTGGTGCGTACATCCTCCAACTGTTGGTGATGTCAACCCCGCAGGAGCTGTTAACAGCAGTGACATGGAAAGTGTTTGCTGTGAATGTAGCCACAGGCCAACCCCTTGACACTACTGGCTTTATAGATCTGCTGCAACCTTGGAGCTGCTACACTTCTCATCAGTCTTTACCATCACCCGTTAAATACTGTCTCCCTTTCTTAATCCCTATTTCTATGTAGACAAATGATAAAACGTTTATTGTCTATTGAGAAAAATCTGAATTTTTACCACCTAGTGCCTAATGCAACTAAGGGGTTCTTCTTGTGCAAGAACACCCATAGTGTGACCTCCTTATTGTGCTTGCTGTACATACTTGGCCTACTCACTTTAATACATGAAGGCCACAGACACTTAATTAAATGTTTCAGCATAATTCATAAACCTTCTCATAATTAAAAAAAATAGCCACTGCTGCTGTGTTTCTGGCCTAGCATTACTTCCTTCTGTCCCTTATTCTGATTTATCTTCCTTCATTTTCCACCATTGATTTTGGCTAATGTATTTGGCCTTTTTGGGCTCTGCTTTTACTTCTTCTTCTTCTCCTCGTATGTATGCACTTGTAGATTAATGCTACAATGCATTAATCTACAAGTGGACAACTGTATGACTTCCTACCTCTCTCTTGGAGGCATCTCCCCTCACGATGGTAATTGATGAGGATTTAGCAATTCCAGTTTTATTATATATCACTTATCCATTTTATTCCTTATTGATTTTTTTACGGAGTTATAAAATAAAATTAAGCACATATAGGTTTGTTTGCTTTAGTTCTTTAAAAAGCTTCCATTAACATTTGGTATGTGATTATGGCATATTTAAAACTGCATGAAAACACATTTTCTCAGCAGAGGTTAACATAAAAAACTGCACTTATCAACTTTGGGGAATTTACTTTTTTATTAATAAAAGTGAAAGGAATCTGAGACAGCCTCTGAGTTGCATTGGATTAATTGGGTTATATATATATATATTTAAATGATAAGGGATGGGCATTGTTCAAACACTTCAGTGGACACAAGATTATGAATGTCGTTAACATTAACACCTGAATGAGTTTAATGTTTCTCCAAATATTTAAAATTCTGTAAATTCTATAAATGCTGCACATAATAGGCAGCGGATTGATCATAAATTAACTGCCTAGCGTGTGCCTCACTGTTTCTGCATGCTGTCGGTATTTCCCTGCTTTTTCGTTGTTATACCACTGCCATTTTTCCAAACAGTCAGTGTCTTTTTTACGAGATTCTTCAGATCACTTCTGCCTTTATGAAAACACTTCAGATTTGGGGTTGTGATAACAAATATGTCACATGAAATAGTTGGTTAGCCGAATCCTTAAGCAATCAGAATAACAATTTCAAGTATATAGAGCCTATAGGAAATCAACAGTATAATTTAATAATAAAAGCCGCGCCATGTTTTTTTTTGTAAAATGTTAAATCTTATGGTTGATGGTTTTTCTAAGTTGATAAATTGTTTTGGAAGAACAGTTTCAGATACAGTGGAACTCCATGCTTGCTAGGTGATGACAATATACATAAGGGACAGAAAGAAACATAGGATATTAGAGGAAATAATGTGTGGTGAGTAGTGTGAGGTGGTTGTCAGGGGTATAATAGAATAGCTTGGAGGCCCTTACACAACATTGGGCAGCAGGACAAGAGGAGTAAAATGGTCTGGAAGAGAGGTTTAGCCAGTGAGAAAATCAACAGAAGAATCAGCCGAGGAGTCAGTTGAGAGAAGTGGAAAATACCTTTGGGGTGAACTGCTAATTTCAAGCCCAGACGGCCAAAGGGCCGTGGTGATGACAAACCTTTATGACTAAGCCTTTACTCATCCTCTAGTCTTTGTCCAAGTGTTTGAATATGAATGGCTGGTTGTGTTCACAGCATTTGATAAATGATAAAGCTGACACTTCGGCTTATTTATTTTTTACTCAGGCTTATCGCGGACACAGCACCCTTATCTTCTAAGTCCCATTGATCATTAATGCAGAGCAGCTAAAGTAGTGCATGAATAAATGAAGAGAAAAGCCTGCAGTATTTTGTGCTTCGTCAAAGGTTGTCAGGTGTTTCTTGGCAAATACGTTTGTCACGGTTTTCTGAGGTTTGATGGTTTTAAAGGTGAAAGTTTTCCGATTGACACTAACAGCTGCAGAAGTGTTCCCTTCAGCTTTTCATCAAGCTGAATGTGTGCTATTGGCCAGTAAATGGGCGGCTTATGAAAATGTATGGACACCACATTAATTCCCATTTCCTCTGTCATCAAGATGCAGTGTCACTTCAAAGGCCCAGAAGGAATAGTGTTAATCCACTGGCTGTAGGAATCTATCAACTCTGCTCTGCTGTACTTATTGCTCTGCTCTACCCAGCTGTGGCCCCCAGCTTCTTCAGTGTGTGATCAAAGTGCAGTTTGTCTCTGATATATGCCACACTCTGGCCCAGTGGTCTAAAAGGCTGTCAGGGACAGGAAGTGGATGGGGTTTTAATGCAGGATCTATTGCAATTGTGGACACATGGCCTTGTGTACACAGAGATAAAACCATGTTTTTTTCTGTATTGATTAAATGATCAGATCTCTCAGTTGTACAGCATACTTCCATGTATTGAAATCAGGTATTATTTGCATTTCCAAGAACTCAGTTTTGATGGGTATTTTTTTGTTTTGAGGTTTAGTCAAAAATATATTGTGACTTGACTGTTACTACATGTTACTTGAGTTCACTTGTCTTTATTTTCCAGTGTGCTCATATATTTTCTGCTGTAATGGTTATATGTCAAGTTTGGATAATAAGGATAATATTCAACTGGTTATCTCACACTTGCATGTAGTTTCCTGTCAAACTGCTTCTGTGAAATCATTGTGAGGTCCAAAACAGTCAACTTTGAGTAAGTCATTGTCATTGTCACAAGGACAGGTTGGCTTAAAGTTTTACCATTTTTTAAAAAAATATACCATTGCAGTCAAAAAAGTCTAATCCTATGTTCCAAGAATGTTTATCACTCCTTTCTTGTGACTGTTTTTTTTGCTCGGGGGACCCCCCCCCCCCCCCCCTCCGAGAATTCAGCCTTAGTTTGTTTTCAGGAGGTTTAAAGGACATAGGGCTGCTTGATTATGGCACAAATCATAATCACAATTATTTTGAATCATATTGAAACACGATTATTCAAAACAATTATTATTAACTAGTTTAGGATTATTTAAAAAATATATTTTTTATTATTATTTTGTTTACCATTATCCATGATCAACTGTCTACGTAGACACATGTCACCATCCAGCCGACAGAACTTGTGGGGGAAATCCATGCCAAATCCTGGTTAACTCTTTTATAGATTTACATTCTTGAAACTGTCAAAATAGATACTTATAATTAGCATTTCTTTCCAATCTTTCCTCCTTCTTTGCAAATGCCTTTCTTGTGTCAGAACCTTTGAGTGGAAATCTGTATTAGTAGCTGCATGGGGTTGGTCAGCAGCTGGCCCCTGTTGCTTGCCTTCTCTTGTTGTTGCATTCAGTTTTTTTTATTATTTTGCCTAGCTGGTTACTGCCGCTTCATAAAACTTCAATGGCTGAAGCACAATGCTGGGCAGGGGAGGGGTCACGACTAAACTTGAACCTCAGCTTCAGCCAAGAACCACATCAAATTGAGATAGCTTAATCAGACAAGTTCCAAATTCCGTCCTCCTTCCCTCCTGTTGTCTATATCTTTCTTCCAACTCGGCTACATCAAGACACTTTCTTTGGATTTTTATTTTTATTTATCAAGCAATTGTCATTCTTATGACTTTGTACTTATCAGACCCCTAGTTTGTTTCACTCTCATTGAAATGCTTTGTTTTTCTATATTCAATTAGGAGTTGGAAAGAGCTCTGTCAGAGCAGGACCTGGACTTTCTTGGGGACCTCATTGCCTGTCTGTTGCAGGGATGTTACCAGCGCACTGACATAACGTAAGTGTCTAAAGCACTAGCAAGAAAGTCATATCTGTATTCACTGCAGTTCTGTCAGATTGACTGCATTTAGACATGGTATACTGAGAGATATATTGCTATATTTCCTGTGAAGTGTGTGAACAGTAATGCATCTCAGGCCATATTAAATCAACACCTGGTGTTTTTTGACCACATGTATGTTCACGGTCAATTTAATACTCATTTTTAACGCTTCATAATATTCTTACATTGAGTGTCTTAATCTAACAATAAAAAGTGGTCTAGAACTTTACCAGTATTGCCAGTATATCTACAAGAATAGTACAAGATCACATGAATCCAACCTGTTTATGTCAGTCTTAAACCAGTTTAAACCTGCCAAGTTAAAACCACTTGCTCCACTGACTTTGAATGAGTCAATGAACCCAACAACATGATTCACCAGCTGCTGTAACTGGTTCTCTGTGAGTCAGAATGTATTCACCATATTGTTAGATAAATTCTGTGGTGAAAGTATGCTCTACTGCTGCGATAACATTAAAAACCATGGCCGCCTCTGCAGTCAAATGATGGGAGAATGTGAGTATACACAGTAGTAGGACGTGTTCATTTAAATCCACTAATGCTCAGTGCTTGGGACTTCCCCCCAAGTAATACCTAAGATTTTAGCTTGACATTTGAGAAATTGTGCAATATCAATCTTCAAATTATTCACACAGATGCAGTTATGAGACAGTTTCACCATCCAGGCAGTTTTGGAATAGACAAATAAGAAGAGGCTTTATTAGAGTGGACAGGCGCTGACGTCCTGGGGGTGGCTGCTTAGCTTTGGCCTTTTACAGGGTTGCCCTTTTCATCTGCACGTGTTAAATGCTCTGCTGGAGCAGTGGAAAGAAGGAAGGGGAGGATGATGGAGAGAATGAGAAGGGGAAAAAAGAATGAAACAGGGTAGTGGGAGGGGGTGGCTAAGTAAAAAGTGTGCAGCCTTTTATCAAGATAAGCACCCTGTGTAGACATTTCACACATCTATTGCAACTGGCTCTGTATCTAAAAGTATTTTGATGAATTCTGAACTGAAACTTGCATTTTAACAAGTTTGAATCCTGGATCGAAATCCACTCCTATAAAGGAAATATCACTTTATTGAAATAACATTTTCTTCCATCATATAGACTCACTGTTGTGTGCTGTTGTCTTTTTTGTGTGTTCATATCATTTGCAAATTTGAAGTTCTAATGACAGCTGACAATGGACAAACACAATGTCTTATAGACAAATAATAATACCTCATACTAAATAATAGCATCCAAAATCTAGCCTACAAATATTGATAACCAAAAGTGTTGAGTTTTCCTTTAGCATCAAATTTGCTAACCACTATGAATATTTACTGGAAATGACAAAGAAAACATCTACACTTTGAAATGTGAATTCCTTAAAAAAATGTAAGGTAGAAACTTCAGATTCTCTTGTTCTTTACCCGAGACCTTCATAACTAAAGGAGTCTGAATGTTACTATTGCAGAGTAAAAAGGCACAACTGTAATAGCAGTTAAATGAGAACATATTGCATAATTTTCACACAGTTGTGGTAGTGTAAATAACATCAGCAAACACCAATAGATGGTTGAAATTCATATACAAATGCCTTCCCCTAAGATATTTTCCTTAAAGTTCTTGTGTGATCTTAAATAGAAGTTACTAAAAAAATAATATGTAAATATACCCTGCCTCTGTTCTTTAGCCCCGAGGCATTTACCAGTTACCTGGATGACATCATCAGCTACAGGTGGGAGCTGGAAGAGGGAAAGCCAAACCCTCTCCGAGAAGCATCCTTTGAGCATCTCCCAACCCGCACTCAGGTGGAGTTGGTGCATCGGCTCTGTGATTACCGGTTGGATGCTGCAGATGTCTTTGACCTGCTCAAGGTACACCACTTATACGTTTTGGGGAAACACAAGCACTGATGATAAGATATTTGGTATCTTACTTGAAAATCCTACAGATGTACCAGTAACCTTTAATGTTATCTTCATGCAAAATATAACAATGTACTTGGAATTGAATATTAATTGGCAATTTATAAGCGAACTTAAGTAAGAGTTGTCCGAGAAACAGCAAATATAAAGTGTGTGAAAATCTGTTAACAGTACATCATGTCTCAATTGTATTTTTTTTACTTTTTTTTGACTAAACATCATTAAAAATCCTTTATTTTCTTTACACATACAAGCTATAAACAAGTAATGCCGTTACTCTTCTTACACTGTAATGCAACTATCTGCACAGGGGCTGGATGCAGACAGCCTGAGGGTAGAACCACTGGGGCAAGACGGAAATGGAGCCCTCTACTGGTATTTTTATGGCACTCGTATGTACAAAGAAGAGCCAGTTAAGAGGACATCTGCCAAAATCTGGTAAGTAAAGTTGTACAAACTGTTGTATTGTTGTGGTACACTAATGCATGTACTGTGTGAACACAGTACATGCACGCTGTATAGTGTATGTAGTCTATTAGGATTTTCTGAGGTCCCCATTGATATTTAGTCTTTTCCCTCCGAACAGTGAACCCTCTGAAGTAACAATACAGGAAAGAAAGAAAAGAGGAAGACCACCAAAGAAAAGAACACTTGACGATCTCCAGCTAAGGTAAGAACCGGCCTTCTAAATTGTCCATTCAAGATTATGGGTAGGTTTTAGTTAGGCAACCTCTATCAGGTAGTTAATATATTGCTCAGTCTCCCAAATTGTATTTTTAGTGAAGTGGAAGGAGACATCTCAGAAGACAAGTCAGACAATGGCTTGGAGGAGCCTCCTGTAAATAAAGGTGAGGGTGGTATATGTATATTTGGTAACTGTAACATTTAAGTGCTTTCTTTACTGAAGGCTCTTCTACTTCAAATCATTTCTCTTCTTTTCTATTGCCAGGTGACAAGCGTGGCACTTGGTCCCTTATTTGTGACTCAGAGGAACAGTGGATTCAACTTGCGGAAAGCATCAAGGACAAAACCTCCCCACAGGACCGACATCTCTACCATGTTATCACAGAGAATTTTCTGCCTGAGATCAGCAGCATGATAGAACACAAGGTCAGACATGGACTATCCCTCCCAGCAGACTTCTTTAGCAGCAGTTTAAAGTATCTTCTTTATTCAGCTTTTCACAAAATACAATTACAAAGTGAGGAAGTGAAAAATATTGTGTATTATTTTTCTCATTGCTATATTGAACTAATGTGTACGTGTCCAGAATTAAGCCACATTTCGCAGTGAGTTGTCTGTATTGCAATTTCTGTTCAGTTTCATGGTACAGTAACCTGTGTCATAGTATTAAATCCAGCATTTAGTTTCTATAGAAAAATATTAACAGTTGATTATTGTTATGAAATTCAAAAGCCAGACCTGCTTCCTTGTCTTCACCAACCCATCTGTTGGTGAAAAGAGTAACTGTAGATGTATGATAAATAAATGGTCTGGTGAAAACACATTTTGTTACGCACTGGTTCCAAAGAATCTTAGCTGCAACACCACAACTGTAGTTATGATCCTTCATCACAGGCAAACTGTCTCAGTCTATGTATTATCCACTAAAATCATGTATTTTTGTCAAACCAATATTTCATTGAAGATGTCAACAATGTGGAAAAACTCTCAACAAAGCTTTAGATTGTTGTGACACTCATTGATAGGATTTGTGGTTACTGTGAAAGAGGTGATGGGAATGATTGGTATCAAAGGTGAGGAGCCAGGAGAGGGTGAGATCAAGGGAGATGACCCTCTGTGGGGACTCCCGAAGGGAACAGCCAAAAGAAGAACAAGAAGTCTTTCTTTGCTAAGATGCAGCAGTACCATAGCTAGCTTTCACTTAATTATAGAGATAGATTACTGTGGTCTTTAGAATCCAGTATAAGTTCTTCATGTTTATCGTCCCTGCTCTATAAAGGTGTGAAGATGTTTTGCACTCGATGGAAGGTTATGTGAAACAAGAGTTACCATAGAAACCACCTTCATCTTCCCATGAGCACCATTGAGGTTGAGAGCCCCGAGGGCTATGTTTAGTGACAGAGTGGTCTTTCGCTTTACACACATAGTCTGTGAATTCTCCTTGGTTGTTGGTCCACTACAGCAATTTCTGAACAAGTTCATTAGTACCAAAACAAGGTTTTGATTTTTGCTTTTAAAAATTTACACCACAGCAGCTTCTGGGCTAGAAGGAATTTTGGTATGTATTGATATTTGAGAACCCCTTGAGACGCCTGACTGAGTATCTGAAGAAATAGTAGACATTTATTGACAAAATTGGACAATCTCAATCATTTACTTGGTATAGTTTGTAAAGTTAGAAAATTCTGAAATCAATGATGCTGCCAATGGTGTGCTTAGATCAGCTTCATTAATGACATCTCCATTCTACTAATGTTCTCAATATATGCAAATTTCCTGTCACACAGTAGGATTTATACTGAGAAGTCGATTTATTAATTATGTATTAAAAAATTGCAACCTAAAACCTCACATACTGTAGTTAGCTGCTGATGTAATCAAAGGCATGCCATTGTGATCTAACGTATGCTGTCTATTGTGACTTTTACTGAGTGTCAATCTAGACTGCATTTCTTTCTTCTATGCCTATTAAGAGTAATCTTTAGTGTTGCAGACATGTCTAATTTGTCTTCTTAAATCTTCCCCCTAGGTGAGGGGATGGCAGCAAAGTTCAGAGAATGGCTTCAGGGAAAAGACAGCATGGACAGTCACCCTTCCATGTTCTCAATTCATTATGCTCTATCACTTAGGTTATTTGTTGGTGTGCCCTAAAGACTCTGTAGATAATTGTAATTTATTTCAGACATTTTTGCACTCAGAATGTAACTGAGACATTTGTACAAATTATAGGCATCAAAATAAGAATTTGAATTTCCCAGTTGCTGGTGTTTACTGTTACTTGACAGCAAGGTTTAGAAGCAGCTTAACAAAAAACTTTTTTTTTTTATATAAAATATTGCTGTAAAGTCAACCTTGTGTTTCAACCTTTTGTCTTTTTATTTAGGAGCGGGAAAAGGAACAGAAACTACTTGACCCAGCCCCTGTTCGAACATCTCAACAGTTCTTTGAAAAGTGCATTCAAAAAGAAAATGAGGTCCGTTTCTGCTATGTTTTTTCACAATGCTAATGTTTTACTGCCCATAAGCTAGGGCTCTGTTTACTTTTCCTGTCTTTCACTTTTTAAAGACAGAATTATTTGTTTTTTTGTTTGTTATAGCTAATCTATTATTCCTCAGACAAATATGTAATTTGGTTTATATTGTGCATTACATTCAGGATGGTCTGAATGCTGCTGAAGAGGAAGAAAAGAAGAAAGATGAGGAGCTGGACAGGCAGGTCCTGCTGGCTGAACAGAGACTAGAAGAGGAGAAGCTGTTAGAGGAAGAGCGACAGAGGGAGAGGATGGAGAAGATCAAAGCTGTGGAAGGTACGCTTGAAAGATAGATACCCAGAACTCCGGGTTGATAGTGCAATGTAAAAGGAATGAAAAGGAACGACACAATCTTAAAACCTATTTCAAGTATTTACTCAATGGGTCACATGGTGTGTATGTTGCTGCTCTTTAATTTTTTAACAATTAAAGCAGTGGTTAGAATATTTCCCTTAACATTGAGGTGAGAACGAAAGTCTAAAGCTTTAATTAGGTCACAATTTGCATGTTTTGACAGACTTTAGTACAGCTCCACAAAAGTTCAGTGCCCCAAAATATATTCAGTCAGCCATACAAATTAATACAATATATTTTCCACTGTTCCTCATTTTTTAAATAAAAATAAATCCCAGTAGACAGTCACTTTCAATGGGCTAATCTTAAACTTGTTAACAATGAAAATGTTGCTAATGAGTTGCACAATTAGATTTATGGAAAACAACAGTAATGCATGCACAGACTCAGCCAGAGGCCCCAAAAATGTAACTTTTATCATAGCACCCCCTGCAGGGAATGCAGGAATAGCACCAGAAATCTAATATAAAGGAGCTTCTAAACTTTGGGGGGGGGGGGGGGGGGGGACCACCACATGCACAGGCTTCAACATTTCTGCTGCTGTGTATCACATTATTATAGGTGAAAATTTTAAAAAAAAGTGCCATAGCATCACTTTAACCCTTGTGATTTATGTGTTGTACACAAAGTCCGTGGGAGTGAATGTTCAGGTCCTTAATCACAGGATCAGTTCTCTGTCTCCCTCCCTCTGATTTCATCCATCAAGGGTTAATGAACTGCTGATTGTGCTTGTATGGAGGAGCCTCATTAATGTATTATAGATGAACAGCAGGACCTGACCACTCTCTGTGTGGGTTTCATATGTGGATTCCTCCTTCAAACATCTTTTATACACACGACGGGGGTTGGCAGGCCTCTTGCCTTTCATGTTAAAAGATAAAGCAGTGATACATTTCCCTGCTCTACTTCGGTCTCTGATCAGTGTCAGCTGAGAAAAGATGGCTACTGACCCCTCCTCCTGCTTATCTGAATTGTAACTGTCCATGTCCAAGACCAGGTTTCTTTAACTCCTATACAGCCTAAATTAAAATAAAAAAATAAATCCTCCTGTGTTGATTGTTCTCTAAGAACGTGCAAAGAGGCGGAAGATGCGAGAGGAAAAAGCCTGGTTGCTGTCTCAGGGACAGGATCTGCCTCCCGAACTGTTGAATCTGGAGCCTACATCCCCTGTGAACCGATCTCGAAAGAAGAAAGATTTGTATGAGACGTTTAAAATATGAAATTGAGAATTTAGTTTCAAATCTGATAACTGGTCCTGCTCATTGGCATTATATCTTGTTTGACATTGCAGCTATGAAATTGACGATGACTACACGGCCCTGTACAAAGGTATGGATAACAAACAAATACAGTGACAGCTTTTGTTTAATCTTTCATTCATTTTAAAGTGTAATTTTAAATACTCTATTTTCTACAGTACTTCAGACTCTAAAATCCCATAAAGATGCTTGGCCTTTCTTGGAGCCTGTGGATGACTCTTATGCTCCCAATTACCATGAAATCATTCAGGTACAATTCACCACTGTGTTTTATTTATTTATTTATTTATTTATTTATTTCATTTTATTTTTTTATTTATTTATTTTATTAGTGTTTCTCTACAATTTTCTAACATCTATGGCACACCACCAGGGTTTTTTAATTGTAATTATTATTTTTTTAATTGCAGACTCCCATGGATTTGTCTACCATTGAGAAAAAGCTCAATGATGGAGACTATATTGCCAAGGAGGAGTTTGTTGCAGATGTGAAGCTCATGTTTGAAAATTGTGTCGAGTACAACGGAGACGACAGTGGTGAGCCCAGGAGTTTGTGTATACCAGAGAGCACCAGTCAAATAAATGGATAATGATTACACTAGCTTTTCTGGTAAAGACATCAGTATATGTATGTTTAAGGGGTTAGATGTGAAGGGTTGGAGGGGGGTGGTCCAAATGGGGGAAGAGCAAAAGAAAGAGAGCTGGACATGGTGGTGAGGGGCTCGGGCCAGGGCAGCCTTGACAGTGATTAATGGGGAGTGATTGAGCTGTGCTTCAGTGCTCAAGGGGATCTGAGCCATGCAGTGCCAGAGAAACATTGCAGGCCCCAAGCCCCCTGTCTGGAGCCATCTATCCAACTGAATGCTCTCCCCAGGGACACGAGGAGAAGAGTGTGAGTAGGATGTAGGAGGAGCAAGAGGAGTAGAAGGGGTTTCAGGAGCAGGGGTCAGCCTTAAACCTCTGACCCGGTCAGTTGGCCAGTGTGAGTTGAGGACAGAGGAGAATGTGTCTTTGGGTTCATGACATACAATGCTGATCATCAGTGTTTTAGTATTGGGGTGCAACAATATAACAGTAGGAAATTGCATCTTCCAGCCTTATTTTATTATTCTATGTCACAGTTCAGGTTTTCACTGTATGCCCTGGATTTCCCACCTTACTTTTAATCATAGAAAAGGAAATAGCAGTAAAAATATGTTTCATAAAGGTTGAACTGAATTTATTTTATTATATTAAAACTAAGGTTTTGTATGTCATTTCTCTATATTAAAATTACAATATTTGAACAAGTCACAACTAAAAACAGGTGTTAAACACAAACATCAACCTGTTATTCATCTTTCCAGTCCAGCAATGTTTTTTTATATTTTATTTTATTTATATTATGTTTATTACTTGTGATTAATTCATATCTAACGTGATAATTCAGATTAGAAATTGAAATTGTTCCCTAATTCAAACACGTCTTTTAACAGAGTACACAATCATGGCAGAATCCCTAGAACGGTGTTTTAGTCGGGCCCTGCTGAAACACTTTCCAGCCGAGGAAGGTGACACAGATGAGGAATTTCACGTTAAACGAGAAGACAAGGAGCGGAAGGACAAAAAGCGAAACCGCACCAGTAAAAACTTGGGACCTGAAAGTCTAATTAGGGCAACTGAGCAAGTCCAACGCAAGAGAAGCTCCCAGGGAGGAAAAGACAGCATGCTTGCAGATGAAGAGGACAACAAGCTAAAACGACAACCACCTCCCCCTCACTGGACCAATGGCCCTCCAAAGCCCCACAATTTGCCTCCAAGCCAACAACGCATTCATGAAGGAGATATGAGAGGCATGTATCACCCAGGGCAACAGGTACTGACATCCATATTTTTTAAAAACATTTGATACCTAACCTAGTGCACTATGAAAACTAAATCAGTAAATTCTCCCCGTCTAACTAGCTCCCTCGTCCACCTGGTCATCCTGGTCCTCATATGTATGCCCAAAGAATGACCATGGAGCCACGCTTTGCTTACCCTGCTCACATTCCCAGGCATGCAGACCCCAGAAACTTTCCGTGTAACCTCAACATGCAGGTACTTCGCAGCCATTTGCATAGCCATGCAATGATTTCTTCCATGACCATATTCTAGACATCCCAGTTGTAGTCTAACAAAAAAAGGCTACAAATCTTTTCAGTGACATATAAAAGTGTCTTTCTAATTAATTTAATCAGTGAGGCAGCATGTGGACAATTGGAGACCAAGGAAAACAATGTGCTCAGTGTTTATATTTGAAGCCAGTAAGACAACAAGGGGCCATGTCTTTTTATTTTTGTTTCGTAAGGTACAGTAAGGTACAGTTTCTCCGTAACTGTGACATTATTGGGAGCACCATGAGTGTCCCACTGAACAAGAGACTTAACCCTGTGGGTTTACCCAATTTCATGCATACATGGACTAATTAGATTTGTATTCTTCTGATATAGTGATTCATGTTTTTTGTTTTAGCCCGGCATGGTTGAGGGGCCTCACATGGGTCCACGGTATCCAATGGGTCCTGATTCTAACCAGCAGCTACCTCCACACCAGCAGCAACATCCTTACATGGGTCCCACCCACGGTCCATCTCTTGGTCCACGTCCCACGGCCTTACAGCCTGGACCTCCTTCTGAGGCAAGCATGTATCCATACCACCATCATCCAGAAGGCCACACCCTAAACAGATTCTCTGGACCAGATAGACCAGCACAACACAACTACCCTAATCTAAGACCACCTGGTATGGGTATGGCCAACATGTGGACAGGTGTGAATCATCAGCAGAGGACAAATGGGATGCACATACAAAACCCTAATTCTGTCAACCAGACCAACTTTAATTATGGCAGTATCCCACCTCCAGTGGGGCAAAGACCATGGACAGAAGCTGCTGGATACCCACACCCACCTGCAGGAGTTAACTCTCAGGGGTCGGTGTCTTCACGTCCCCCTGCACCCCTTACAGACTCCTCTGGCAGGACTTGTTTGGCTTCAATGCTGGAAAGCCCAGAGATGCTGGCCCTGCAGCAGCTGTCAGCCTCTTCTGGACCCCCTGCTGGTGCCTCTCATCAGCACAGAGGCAACTTTCAGCAGTCTGGGCCCCAGTCAGGAATTGGCAACATCCCAGCTCACGCTTCCCAGAGGCCACCTCCTGCCCCAGAGCTTCAGCTGCTGCGTCCTGCACAAGACAATGGACCAGACAGACATGCTTTTCAGCCGACAAGCACACAGCCCAAAGGTAGAACTGACCTTCTTTTATAATTTTACCAGACATTTATATTCTCCTTTAATAAATATGCACCATCCACCCTTTTTAAACACTACTTCCTATTACACTTTTACTGTCCTAAGTAATTAAAGAGCATGGAATACACCGTCTTGCCTATAAGAGGCTTTGGCAGCTCATATTTTCTGATTAAAATATAAAACTAATTTCATGTTTTTAATGCACTCATCTCATTGTTTGTTGTTAGATTGAATTTACTATTTTTTTCTTTCTTTCTTCTTTCTTCTTAAGTTTATGGGAACATGGATTTTTCTTTATTATGTAAACTGCTAGAAAACACAGTTAATACTTTTTTTCCTGCTTACCATTCTATTGTTATTCACTGACAATAACTTGGCTTTCTTGTCCATATTGGTAACAGGTACAGGATCAGACAGTAGCATGATGCATAATGACATTTCTAAAGGAACTATATCTCAAGAAAACACTTTACCAGTGAACCAAGAGAACGCGTCCAAACCTAATCCAACTGAACACCAATCAGTGACACCAGAGGGAACACACAGCCCCTCAAAGCTGAGCACACCTCAAGATAATCCTTCCAGACTGGGGCTCTTGCATAGTTTAACACAGAGCCTCAAGCAGGATTTTGGTGGCCACACCCAGCCCACTAACAATTGTCTTCCTCAACCCAACTGTGCCACACATCTGAATACAAGTAACGACAGCTGCAAAGATCCTGCTCCACTTAAACCATCTAAGTCTAACCACAGTAGTCCAGGACAAAACGCTGCAAGCCCCACGTTTCCTCCTCAAAATGACCTGCCACTACATGTACCAGCATCTCAGAGTCCCCCTCAGGATTCACTCATGCTCGCTGCAAATCAGCAGAGCGAACATGAGCAACATATCCAAAAACACCAGCAGCAGCCTCAGGCAACACAGAATACTCCTCTTCAATGCCGCCCTCTCAGCTCTCCACGGCCGCAAACTCAGAACACTCAACAAAACATCTCACCCCAACATTCTGCACAGAAAAGTCCTGTCCATGAAGCATCTCATAGTTCTACACCACTGGTCCAACCAGCTGCCCCACTGCCCTCACATCCTCGTCCTGCAGAACACAGTAAACGAGGACAGAGTGAATCAGCAGGTAAAAAGGCCACAGAAGGTAGCACGGCTGCACCACAGCACACCATGAAGAAATCTGGACCTCAGAATGGTGGTTTTAAAGATGGGGATTTGAACACAAATCACAATCAAGCCCAGCTGGTGGGTTGTGATCCACTATTGCAGGGTCCTAGAGGCCCTTCACCTGGTCACAGTCCAGTCATGCCTGCCCAGTCTCAAGGCCATTTAAATGGAACTGGGGGTCCATACAGGATGGGAATCCCCCCGCATTCACACTACAACCAAAATAACATGAGCAGGTCAATGCCTCCATCTGTTCACTACCCTTACCACAACCAGCCCATTAGTTCTCTTCACAATCCTCCTCAACATCTCTCCTATCACCAGCAGGGAGGGGCTGCTTACCCCTATCTCATGCCTGGTCAACAGCGACCTCAGAGTCCATCAAACCTGTACCCCTCTCATCAGTACCAGCAGCAACAATTTTACCCTCAGCACCACCCTCAAGCTCAAACCCACAACCAAGTCCACAATAGAGGAGGTTATCCTCCTGAAGAATGGCATCGGTCACATTTTCCCCCTCATCAGTCGATGGCATCTAATGTCTACCCACATCTAGCAAGAGGCAGCAGCCAATCACAGGGTAGCATGTTAACATCTGTGGGACCTGGGCCTTTCTCTCTCCCTGGTCTAATGTCGCCAGGCCGTAGGTCGGAAGCTGGGCTACACCTTAGTGGCCCAGATGAAGGTAAGTGTGAAAGCCGGTCACAAGTCAGCACAGGAGGCAGCAGTGGTGGTGTTAGCCCAGCTCACACTGAGGGCTCTGAACGTCCTGAAAGCCCAAAAGAAATCCTGGACCTGGACAGCCATAATGTTGCGGCGCGTCAGCGTGGCACCCAGCAACCCCAGCAGCAGCATCCACCTGCGTCTGCTGCACACATGTTGTCTGGCTACATGAGCAACTCGCGTGGCATGCATCCTGGAATCCAGCAAAATACACCTCCTCTACCACACGTAGCCGGAAAAGTTGGCAATGGAAGCCGGTACCCTCGCCAGCCATATCCAGATCCAGGTCGTTACGCTGGCCAGAGGCCTCACCCACACCTCATGGAAGCCTTACATAGGCCCCAGCAGCTGCCTTACACCCCAGGTCAGACACACATGGCTATGTTCCAGCAGCCAAGGCCAGCGGGCCACTTCCAAGGCATGATGATCCAGCAGAGTGTCCTGGCACCGGAACAGTTTCCACATTCAGGGTAAGATGTTTTCTCTTTTCCTATTTGTGATTTTAGGGAAATGAGGATTAACTCAGAAATTATCAACTGCTTCTGCCAAGCTGTTGATAATTTTCTTTTGTCATTTCCTTCTGCTTTTTTGATTTAAGCAGATGGAAAAAAAAAACAGGTGATGAACAATTCTGTTTTAGGCAAAATGAAATGAAAATTCAAGAAAAATGATTCAGGGTTGAAAGAATGTGGAATCAGCATATATTTATGAGGACTAATTCCAGTTCAACAGAACAAAAATGGGGTCAACATGAAACATGCTCCTTTTAGGAATTAATGCCATGTGTTTGTGTTCACAGGCATCATATGATGGCTGCGCCTGGTGGTCCTAGCAGTAAACAGGGAGTGTGACATGTGAGTACTGTACCTTAAGCACATTGAGCTTGAATCATATTCTTTTTAATCAACTATTTACGTGTTGTTATTCAGCCAAAAAATATGTTGATATAGCAAATTAACAGATTTAATTTAATCTTTCAGATTAATCCATAACGAAAGAGGATCCCGATCATGTCAGTGAGTAGAATTAAAGAAATGTCATAAGTTTGATCAGACAGACAATGTTCAGAACGCCTCGACATTGACATTGATTCTCTTTTTTTAATGCTGGAGCAAAGCATTTGTCTTTTGTTGCTCACCTTAAACTTCAATCAGAAGAGCCAATCAGACAGCTGGTCTTACTAAGAAGATGTTAAAGAGATCTGTCATACAGCCGTTTTCAAACAGGTCACAGGACTGACTCTGATGCTTGGTGAAACTGGAATGGACTATCATAGACCAGTACCTGTCAACAGAACAGTGGCTTACCAATATAAGTGATTTCACTTTTGTCATTCAGAACATTTTTCTTACCACTTGTCCAAATGGCTAAATTTGGGGGGCACTGCCACTAAGGAACCATTTTCTGCTTAAATATTGCCATAGGGATGTATTAAAACCACTGTATAAAGCCTGGCCTTCTGTTCACCGTACATTCAGACCCAAGTCCACAGAAAAGAGGAAATTGACTTCTTTTACAGCAAAATGTTAAAACTCAGGTGTATAAAGAAGATACTTTGACTTTGTCCATGTCACCTTAAAGTCCTTGCAACTGCCTTGTTCTTCCCCAAGTGAATGTATAAATAAATGTGTATTTGAAGCAGGGCAACTGCACGTGAAGGAGCACCAACACTGGAAATCTGTCCCAAAATACTTTTCTCTTTCACACACACACACACACACCAGTTTAACAGTTGTTTCTTTGCTCCTGTTGTAAATTTTGAGAATTTGCATTCATCAGAGCGGCCTTCATTTATCAGAATGTCTTTGGTCAGCAGAGAAGGACTCTTACAAGGATGTTATGCACTACATAGTTTTTGTTGTTCTCAGCATCCTGGGACTAAGAGGCCTTGATGAGTAGTTGAAAGCCAATGCCTGTTAACACACAGTGTATATGTTTGAAATACATAAAAATATATATTTATGTAACGACTGTCCTTTTCTCTTTAGAAGGCTTTTAGATCCGTTAATCTACAATTGTCACAGTGTGGAACCCATTGGCTGGTATGTGCACAAACAAAACAAATATAGATAAGTAACTCTGGTCATTTTCTTGATAATTCCCTTCCAACAACTTCAAGCTTTAGGTTTACTGCCGTTTTCTTGTCATGACATGCGTCCTCATTTTTGTTTTATTGCCGAACACATCCTCAGGGTCTACAGTTTCTATATACGGGTATTTTGCTGTACTGGCAAAAAGGAAATGTAACTGTGACAAATCATCCCAGTTCAAGTGAAATGTTGTCTCATAGTGTCGAACTAATGTAATTGACAGTTGAAGTGGAACACTGTAATCCTTTAAATTTGTTTAATGTGGCCCCCTGTCACAAAATGTATTTTGGTCAACATCTACAATGGTGTGATTCTGTAACTGCTGCACATCTGCATCCTCCCCCTATCATTAACGGTGCACCAGCATCATCTCATGCAGTTAAGTGACAGCAGCAAACTAATCTACCTCATTCGGCCACATGGTGGCAGAATACCTTTCAGTTCCTTCTTTTAACTGGATGATTTTAGCACTACTTCATAATTTAGAATTCCAGAAGTGATGGCCTTAGCGTGATAACATACTGTAATAATTATTCAGCTTGTCATTTTGAGCCATGTTGCAGTGTGTACACATACTCTTGGCTTTTACCATGTCTCACCAATGACAAGTAGTAGCTGGTATCCTATTGTCAGAATTATGGATTTTTTTTGTAAAGATGTCATACCTTTCTGTCGACAAATTCAGGCTGTGTACTGGTCTAGGGTCTGTGAGACTTCTGAGTGTTGTAGCATCTTATATAGCATTTTAGATAAAGAAAATAGCAGAATGCTGGAAGATGTAAGACAATTTTAAAGGTACTAAAAGTTGTCATATGTATGTCTTTTTTGTTAATATAGAATGTGTGATATTTTAGTGAGCCTAACTGGGTCACTTTGGTAGAATCCTCACTTGTTCTGCCCTCTATATGTGTTGGGCAGTGTTGCTTGTAAAGGTGGTGAGGTGAAACTCCTGTGGTGTACATGTGTGAGTGTGTGTGTGTGTGTTTGTTTCTGGTGTGTAGAATCCTCTCCAGACACTCTGAAGTGTGCGTTCAACTCATTTATTCTGCTGTCATTCATCTGCACTAGTGAAAGCCGTGTTGATTAAATGTGAATCATATTTATTTGCTCTTTTAAGAATTTTTATACATTGTTGGGCTTGTTTTAATATAAATGTGGTGTCTGTTTCTTTTTGACCTTACCTGGTGTTATTTTTAAGGTAGTCGTCTTTTACCTCAGTAGCATGACGGTATTGAAGAAAAAACCTGTTCTCTTTTTTTAATTGACGTTTACAAGTTCTTTTCTGACTGACATAGATTATTTTCGAAACGGATTTTCTATACTGTACATTTTTATTTAGAAATAAATAACTTTTTGAACGGGAATATGTCTTATTCTTACAATGAAACCTTTAAGAAATGTATTTACTTTATATGACCTTAAAGCAAATTAGTCAACTATCACTCTTTCACTTCCTACAGCCTTTCAGAATTTACAAACCAGAATGTGAGAGTGGGGACCATGTAGGAGAGATAACATACAAGTAACATTCTGATTTTTTTTTAAATAACTACGTTATTACACAGCTACAGTACATAACTATATTTGAGTCGAGTTATGAAACAAGCATCAACTGAAGGTTTGGTCTTTTTACACAAGGTCATTAAAATTGTCTGTCAAATTAAAAATGATGTTTTCATCACCAAATATAAAATAAGTTACATTTGGAGAAATGTGGGATGGGGTCAAGCGTAAAGGTCGCATTACTAATTGTGCATGACATGACATTGTATTACAACTTCAAATGCAAGATTCATGGACATTCAGACTGATCACTTGAGGTGTAAACTAGGGCTCTTTATTGGATTCACGACCCCTAGATTGTGTTTTTCTGAAAACTCCATGGGGTTTCAAAACAAATAAAAGCATGGCTTAATGTTGCGTGTTTGCTTGCCCACAATCACTGCATGTCTGACTCATGAAAAGCAGAACCACACAACAGCAAACTATTCTGTCTTTTCACCAACAGGAAGTGGTTCAGGTCTGTTTTTAACATTGCAACAATCAGTGTTTTCAGTTCTCACATGATTACAATGTATAATTAAAGGAAATTGCCTGATCTGGGCTAAAGCTGCCGTAACCCTTCTAGAAGTATTTTCACAGAAAAAAATGTTTGTTAGTTTTGTTTTGGGTTTTCTAAAACAGAATTAGACTTGTGAAACATCCAGTGTGCTGTGCCATAGCCTGATGAATACTGGAACTGACACCAGACTGCCAGTTACCCTGAAAAGATTTAAGTAAACACTCTGGTGTTTTAAAGTGTACAAATGTACTGAACATGGTGTTAGTAGTCCTGCTGTGAATAAAAGGCTTGACATGACATTTTCAAAGTAAAAAAAAGTAGCTATAGTTCAATAAATCACACTGAAAGTAATTGAATGCAAAAAGTTAAAAAGGGGGGATTTTAAAGATGCAATTTAAATGTGTGGTGTTCCCTGTGATGAACACACTCCCCAGATCATGTGCTACTTGGGAAGAGGAAGTGCTACAGCTCCTCAGGTCCCTTTTAGTTGTTTCTGTATAAGAACATATGTTTTCTGTTTGAGCTTAAGATAAATTCTACATGCTAAAAATCCCATCTTAAACTTGTCATTCAGTATTCAAGAGAAAATTAAGGGTTTTTCTAAATAGTTTGTGATGTTTTCAAAGATATTTCCCAGACTTGGTTGTTTGTATTTATTGTCATAAATTACTAAACATTTGTCTTTTCTTTTTTTTTTTTTAACAAAGCTAGTTAAAATACATAGACTTTGTTAAGATTCGTAGGCTGTTATCACATTGGTTCATGTCCACGTGTCCGCGTATGACCAATCAGCGCGTTGGAAAGGATTGGACCAATTACGTCGGAGGGGCGGGGCTTAGCTGAAACGGAAAAACAAAGGCATATTCTGCCTGAAGCTTAGGTGTACGTTTACAAGTAAACACAAACTCAACTAAATCTGTGCTGTGCTGTTGCTCATTCATTATCCGTTCAAACACCGTCGACACTAGAGAAGGTAAGTTTTGTCTAAAATATATATATATTTCTGTAAGTGACACGCAGCCGTTAGTTTAAATCTCTTCACCCGGCTCCACTGTTGTACTGTTGACACGTCTCAGTCAGCTGTAGTCGAGTCTATGTGCTCTCAGTAGTAAAACAATATAACAATAACAGTATATATATGAGTGTGTGTGTATATATATACATATATATATATATATATAGTTCCATATTGTCCTGTTTATTCCCTGTAGGTACAGGACCACTCTCCATGGCTGTCCTGCTACAGAGTCCACATGCATTTCTGGTCATTCTGCTCCTCTTACTTTACTGGGTTGGTGTGCAGTCCATCCCTGACCCCAGGCAGAGAGAGATGCTCATAAAACTTGAGACATCCATGCAGACAGGTGGTCAGCTGCAACTCACTGATGCTGAGCAGAAGCTGGATGCTGTGCTGTTCAAAATGAAACAGAGGGAGAGTCAGGCAGGGGCCTTTCCTCCTGCTGTACACTTCTTCAAGGCCAGAGAACTCATAAGGGCTAGCCCCATCTTCAGCCTGCTGCAGAGGATGCCCAAAGGTATGTCTACCATCAGTATTCAATGTGTATTTCTTATTAGCATACACACATTCTGTGCTTGACTTTTGTATTTCTTTGTTTTTTAAGCATTTAAAATGTCTGTCCCACTCAAAGACCTGCAATGTCTGAAAAAAAAAACAATGTGAGAATATGTATTGTAAAATTAGCATTTGTTCAATATTTGTAGGTAATTGTTATTTCATTTGTCCATGTCCTTTTAAAAGCTGCAGGAAAATCAGAAATTATTTTTGTTTTTAATGAACAATTATGTTATTCTGTGTTTTAGGGGCGGTGCTCCACGTCCACGACTTCTCCATAGTCGATGCTGAGTGGCTGGTGAAGAATGTGACCTATCGACCCCACTGCTACATGTGCTACACTGACAACCACTCTGTCAGATTCATCTTCTCCTCTTTGTCACCCAAACCTCTGTCACATTGTTCTCCCTGGATTCTTCTGGAAAACCAAAGAGCCAAGATGGGCAACTCCACAGATTTTGACAGAAGGTGACATTGTTGAATATGGATATTTATAAAGCTTTTGGATAAAAAAGAATGCAACTAAAATGGATAACTTCTGGATTTTGTGAGACCATTTAACATCTTAAATTGTTTTTTAAATTTAAATAGTTTAGCTTTAGTCTTTACTGCTACAATGTTAGAGTTGATGCAATAATAAGTCCAGTATATTTAACACCAAACACATAAGAACATTAGAGCCAATGAGCAAGACTAAGAGTTTAGCCCAGTGTCCCCACAGTCTTGTGTTTTGCTTGATGTTTTGCTATTCATTAGCTTTAAAAAAAATAGCAGTTTTAATTTATTTGAGGGCTGACTTTTAGCCTGCCCTGTTGGCTAAGTTGTTTAATTGATTGACATTTTTTTTTTAGCTTTTAGTTATTCTTTAGTTTTTTTTATAATAACTTGTTTGTTTTTCTATGTGTGTTTACTACAGTTCTGATATTTCTGTTTGGACTACAGTAATAGTTAACGTGTCTACTGTAGCTGCATTAGCTTTTAGCTAATATGAAGATAAGTTTCAGATTTCTTGGTTTTATTTTTATTATTATAGTCTTCATGCACGGATTTTATGCCAGTGTATGTTTCACCTTTTCAAACACAGATCTTTCTATTGTTTTGTGTCTCTGTACATTCAGCATCACAGCCTACCTGACACTCTTCACAGAGAAAGATCCAGACACAGTGTACCCCAATCAGAGTGTGATATGGGGTGCATTTGAACAGGCCTTTCTTGCTGTTTGGGGTCTGGTCACCTACACACCAGTGTTTCGGGACTACTACTACCAGGGCTTGACCCAGTTCTACATGGACAATGTCATGTATTTGGAAGTTCGGGCTATGCTCCCAGAGGTAACCTGTCACAGCTGGAGTGTCCAGTGTGTGCAATGGGCCACTCGTTCATGTCTCCATTTTTTTGTTATTTAAGTTGTACGAGTTGGACGGCAGCACTCATGACAGATCCTGGACTCTAAAGACCTACCAGGATGTTACCGTACAGTTCACAAAGGAGAACCCAGATTTCTTTGGAGCAAGAATTATCTTCACAACTCACAGGTGACTGATGAGTTTACTGTGCATGATGTAGAATAACTACCGTGAATGATCTCACAGGTGACTGATGAGTTTACTGTGTAGAATAACTACCGTGAATGACCCACTGACTGGAACGAAACACTGTTTTCTGCAGGGCAGCCAATATAACCAGCATGACTGAAACTGTGATGGAGGCCATTAAACTACAGAGAGATTTCCCAGATATCATGGCTGGTTTTGACTTGGTGAGTAGCAACAGTGCTTTGTGTTTAAACAGTCTATTGTTCACTAACAGTACTTGTGTGTGTGTGTGTCTGTTCAGGTGGGTGAGGAAGATAAAGGCAGACCACTGTGGTACTTTAGAGACGCCTTGTCACTGCCGGCAGAGATGGGGGTCACACTTCCTTTCTTTTTTCATGCTGGAGAGACAGGCAAGTCCGTTAGTGCCAGATGTCTGGACTTAGCAACAGAACTAACCAAAGACCCCAACAGTTAATTTAACAGATAGGATGTTTCCATTTAATAACAGAAAAACAAAGCAGTCAAGAGAGTACTGTATTCTATGGGTGAAAAAGAAAAATATTATAGCTGTCAAATTAAAAAACTACTACAACTACTATTACTAATATTAATATAGTTAATTATTAATTAATTAATATAATTTATTAAGTATATTAATATTATTAATATTAATTAATTAATATAATTGTGGCATTTACAGTCTTTGCAGCTGACAAGGGCAGCCAGAGGAGGCGCTGTTCATTTTATGGTTGCAACTCACTGGCTGCCACCCAGGAGGCTCCATTAGGGATATGTGGTTCTTCATGCAAATCAAACCCTGCACTCTCTGCTGTCTGGTTTTAAGGCAGTTGTGCTAACAGCTGCACTATCACAATAATAATAATAATGATTAATCATAGGGTAGCTGTGGAATAATCACAATTAATCATGATTAATCAACATAATAATGTGTACTGACCATGTATCAGAGAGACATTAATGGATGGACTCTGAAGTGATTAAATAGGCATTGTCATTCTGTCCATGTGTTAAAATGCATCTTACCATATTTTGGATTAATAGTCACTGATCTCTTAGGGCGACTAACATGTCCCTGGGATTTTTATATTTACTGAAAGTAGATTATATCAAAGAGTTACATTAAACACACTTTTTCTATCCCACACACAGACCTCGAAGGCACAGAAGTGGACCAGAACCTATTGGACGGCCTTCGGTTGAACACCTCACGCATTGGCCATGGGTTTGCTATAAACCGCCACCCGGTGGCCAAAGATCTTTCAAGGAAGAAAGGTGTAGCTTTGGAAGTCTGCCCCATCTCCAACCAGGTAAAGTCTGAAGCCTGACTCTAACAATTATGTGTAGACCTGGGTCTCTGTAACTAGAATGACTAGTGACCTCACATCCCAGGTGCTAAAGTTGGTAAAGGATCTGCAAAATCATCCGGCCGCTGCTCTGATGGCAGAAGGCCATCCGCTGGTCATCTGTTCAGATGACCCTTCTCTGTTTGGAGCCTCTGGTCTCTCTTATGACTTCTATGAAGCTTTTGTGGGATTTGGAGGACTGCGGTCCAACATAGGTACACTGAAACAGCTGGCCATCAACTCCATCAGGTGAGGATCCATCCTGAAATAAAGACGGGTTAATGACGGGATTAAAATACTCAAATGATTTCTCTCCCTCTCTCCCACCTCTCTTTCTCTATCTCTGGTGTGATTATATGATGTTTCAAACGTTTTTAACAAATTCTCCAACCTAGGATTCTATATTGTGGTCCATACATGAGAAAGCAGTAACAGTATATTACTGCAGTAATGCATCTTCATGACATTTTCTTGCCTGTGTTTTAGGTTCAGTTCTTTGACACCACCACAACAGGACATAGCCTTGGCCATTTGGCAGAGAAGATGGGATCATTTTGTCTCTGAAAAGGTTTTTTAGAAATGTATTTTATTTTTGGTGAATCCTATCGTGATTTTCTATTCTGAGGAGGGAGCCACTTTTCACTGAGGTGTTTGGTTAGTGATGCTGTAGTAAAACTGCACAAATGAGAATCTCCAAGGCCACACAAACAGGAGACAAAAGAGGGTTAACGTTTTACGTCATTGACAATCAAAGCTACGGCCGATTGACAGTTGGAATTTATCAATTCTAACAGGTAAAGTTTTTAATTTTTGACAGAAACCTAATTTTAAGTAAAGATTGGACTGAATATGGATCAACACGTCAAGATTTGTAATGTTAAAAAAGTGAGGTTCCCTTGTGACCAGGTCCACTGGTAACCAAGTTCTGATGTGTATCGCAAGAGAATTCTTTTAAAAGAGCTAAAAAGAGCAACCACAAGTTGTTAAGTAGGATACATTTTTTTTATGCAGTGGCAAAATTCCTTTTGAAAACTGGGTGTTAGTGCGCATACTTTTTTGGAGTGTGTTCACTTTCCGAGTTTCAAAATTAATTAGGTGTAAAAACCCTGTTTGCTTGATAAAAGGTTAAAACAAAAGAATTACACGGTCAAGATTTGATTAGTTCAATGATGGTACCAACTTTTCTGGAAACAAACTCAGTGTTTGTGTGTGTGTGTGTGTGTGTGTGTGGTGAAGCTGGAATTCTGTGATCTCTGAATCAGCTGGGTGGAAGAGTTCATTTTCAAATAAATTATTGAGTTTTTACATGATTGTATTTGGTGGAAGAGTTCATTTTCAAATAAATTGAGTTTTTACATGATTGTATTATTTTATTCTTAGGCTTTCATACAGTAAATATATAAAACCTCAGACATACACACACATTTAGCATTTTGTTTAATTTGAGCATTGACCCTGTACAACCGTGGAGCCTGGCTGAAGCACCATGGATTTATTTTGCACCTCTTAAGGATTCTTTGTTCCTAAAAATATCAGCAACCATTTCTTAAATTGTCTCTCAAAAAATAAAAACACTGAATAACACATTAGCACCATCATGTCTCATATCTGATCATCATTATTTTAAGCAGACAGGACAATATTTCAACAATTTTAGTTCATTAATTATCTAAGCCGTTTACTTTATGTATCTTATAATGCAATATATCGATTAAAACGGAATTCTTGCGTTGACCACAAGGTGGTACCATTTACTTCCTAAAAAAAGAGAACGATGACAAGTTTTTAATTCCTTCCATGAAGACAGATTGGTCTAATGTGTATAACTGCTAAAACAGATGCCACTCAAATATTGAGGTATTTCTTAAATACTGCAGTATGAAAAATAACAATTGTAGCACTGACACATTGTGTGTGAATCATTAACACACGGCAATTCCATAATATGATGCTTAATGTTTGGTCATTTTGGATGGTCATGATTCTGACAATAAACAAAATAATATTTTAAGTATTTTTCTTTAATTTTAAGGCTAAGGTAAGTGTTTCTTAACATAGAGAAATTATTTTAAAATGAAACAAGAAATGCTGTAAATCGGGCTATGGTGATCCAGTTTGATTAAACCTAGGAATATTTCTTTGAGGAAATATTGCCTAAATATTAAGGAACAGTAATTGTATAACTATTTAATATGAAACATCATTTTTTTAAACCTATTGATGTTTAAGATTTACTATTTGTTCAGTTTTTCTTCCTTTTAACATTAGTTGCTGTTACCTACTGTGGTATACTAATTATAAAACATTTATCTTGGAACAAAATTCAAAATAATTACTTTCTGTTGGTTTTAAATATGTTAAATAAGATTTTTTTTCAGTTTTGTACCAGCTTGTTTCACATGCCTAGAAAATATTGTAATTCCACAGCAGACAGTGTTTAAAGCCAATGTTGTCATTGGTAACACTTTAAGAATCTGGTGCCAAAATGTGAGAGATATCATTCCTGTGATTAAATCATATTGGAAGAATAAAAATAAAAATATAATGAACTGTATGACAGTGGGTGAGTGTGTTGGTCTGTGCACTCCCTGCTGCAGTCGTGTCCTGTGTCTCTGGCTCTGTGTCTCTGCTGTGGTGAGCCAGTCTTCAGGCCTGGCCTCATCTCCATCTCCATCATCTGCTGCAGGTGTTGAACTGCATGAAGAAGTCGTCGTAGACCTTTCCTCTTTTTATGCCCCCTTTTCTGGAAGTAACATGATTCAAGAGACATGGTCAAACAATATTCCTTTGGTTTATAGCACAGGCAGAAACAATGAACTCCTGATGTTACTGACATCTGCATTTCTGCCAGTTTAACGTTGATGAGGTCCATATTTTGTCTCACGAGCTTGTTCCTCTCCTCCTGTTCCTTTTCACGAAGCAAAGCCTTTTCAGCCGAGTCGACCATTAGAAAACTGTGCTGGTTGTCCTCTTGCCTCTTCTTGAATTCCCTCCTCTACAGGTGATTGTAGAGACATGTTGAAGGTCAGTCAGCAAGTTCCTAAGAAGATTTTAAAAATTCTTTAAAACAAGGAGACATTTTTTGTGCATTTTACCTTTCTCTCCTCCATCTGATATTTGTGGAACTGCATAATGTCCTGCTTGCTCTCAGGTGGGGGTCTCCTATCCTGGCTTGGACACAGACCTGGAACTCCCAGACCTATCAGGTTCTCATCCACCATGGTGAGTAGGTCATCTTTTAACTCCAGCTGCCGTTGACGCCTTTCTTCGATCTTTAGCAAAGTGTAGAGCAAAAAGAGTGAATGGGTAAAAAAATAAAAATTCAATGACAGCTAAATAATAGAATGTTAGTTGACACTGAACCACATGTGGTACTTGGGCTCCCTTTAGTAAAAGATGTAGGAAATTGAAAAATTAGGGGTGATGTGATCCATTTGTGTGCTGATAGCTACTGCATTGTACAGTGTGGTTTTGGCTAATTATTGTTTGTCCTTTATACTAAACTAAGCTGAATGATATTTGGCTAATTCTTTAACAAATCTGATTAATGTACTGATTTGATGACTTTAGCTTGTTAGCTTTAATAGAAATGTATCAGGTTTGTCCTGTATTTTTGGTCTGCTACATCAATATGCAAATGAATATTTTTTTAAAGATTTCTTGCAGGTTTAAAAAAATGTTTTAAGCCTCTGCAATTATTAACCAGTCCCTGTGTGATCTCACTTAAAATGCATAAAACCCTTAAATGTTTTATAGAAAGCCGTCCCAAATCAGGCGGCCGACTGTTGTACCACCAAAATATTGTGGTAATGAACTAAACAAATGTGACACAAATATAATCTTAGGAAATACGGTTGAATCTGACCTGACTCTGTTTTGTCTTCCTGTCTAATCTGACTCTAGGTGGACTCACCTTGGCTAAG